GATTTCATTATTTTGTGTTCGGGTCTCCCATGACGCGTTTCAAGTTAAAATTATATAATGACTACGCTCTAGTTTTTTTTATCGGAACAAGGCTTCATGATATCCTCCACAACAGCTATATAAACACTAAAAAGTTGATTTGGACAATTTTAGCCAAATCTGAAGGTCTCTAAAGTATTTACTTTTTAATATTTACTTGCACTATATGTTTCTGTATTATTGTGTTGCACTGTTGGAGAAGCCTGTGACCTAAGATTTTCATCGACATAACTACTCTGTAGCTATGTTCGTATGACAAATAAAGAACCTTGAACCTCTAAAAAAGTGTATAATTTGGTGTTCGGGTCTGGGAAGACCCAGCAGAATTGTTGTAAGTCACTCGGGGTCAAATTTGGCCCAATCAAGATTCATCTTTGACTTTAGACAAACTTTTGGGGGGGAAATTGTATTCTAATATTAGTCTATAGTCAGATAACATAATTATCCACTGTCTTCACTATATGGAATATAATGAGTGAATTTTTCATTTTCTTTACTTAAATATGTGGTGAAATATGTTGTGGGTTCGTAAAATAAAATTACAACAGGATTGTAAAGTTATGAATGCATAATAACTTAGTTATGATGTAATTAAAACAATATTGTTTTGGACTGAGATAAATCATGGGTCAAAATTGACCCGCGAACACTATGAACGGTAACAGCTTTCGAACAACAACACAAGGGTTAAAATAATAATAATAATAGGCCAAATAAAAACAACATAATGTTACACACAACACCAAGAAAGTGTTGCTAAACAGCAGCTACTGTGGCCTAAAGTAGCTTTACCACTTTTACAATAATATCTTTAGTCAATTGCATTAGGACTTCCTGGAGTTCAATATGCCAATCACAATGTGGAATGTACCTTTTACTTGTCCGGAAAACTGTTGCTATTTTCTCATTTTCCCCAATATATTTAATTGATTTGTATGTTAAAAAAGTTGTTTTGGTTTGCTGGTAAGAACTAAAGCATCTTGTACCATTTAGGAAGGCTAGGCTAGTCAAACATATTCGTCATGGAATATTAAAAAGCAGAACAAATCTAACATAACATTTTAGTGATAAAACCAGGAAAATGTTCATCTGTGAAATGTAGTTTGTTAATAAATGTGCTCTTTTACTACACTGTTAGTGTACAGTTTTATTATTATTATTATTATTATTATTATATTTAATGCACTGATTTTGTTCAACTTAAGCATTACATTGGGATAGATAAAGTCTTATCTTAATCTAATCTTGAATAAAGTGTAACTGACATTAAGTTAGCAATAATGTCTATTAAAATGATGCAAGAATATATCTACCTTAAGCTTGTTAACTAAAGATAGCTATAAGCCTGCATTGGTTACTGTTCACACCAGATTCAGTCCAACAGCTAAATCATTTGGTTAATATATTTATTTTACTCTTCTTAAAAGCTAAGAAAATAGAATCAGAATCAGAATCAGGTTTATTGCCAGGTAGGTTCAAACATACAAGGAATTTGATGTCATGGTGCAGACATCAAATATAAAACAAAAAATCCAAAATAAAAACTTTAAGGACACCGTAGTAAGATATAGTTAAATAGCAATAAAATAAAGCAGAAATGTACATGGAAATAGAATTCTATGAATGAATTATTGGATATGAAATATGAAATATGTGCAGTAAGCAGTATGAACATTGTGTGCATTAATCTAATGCATATAGAGACTACGTTGTGGCTGGGGTAAGTGTCAGTGGGGGGGCCGGGCCTTGTTTAAGAGGCCGGTAGCGGAGGGGAAGAAACTGAATAAAATAGCACCTGAAGAAGCTATTTCACTTAGAAGGTGACACATGGCAGAGCTCTCCAAAGCCTTGGCAGCCAGATGGCATAATCCAAATCAACTGACAGTGCCAAGAGGGAGGCAGGGTGCAGAAATTCGGCCACAGCACGACAGGAGAGGTTTTATTTATCACAGGATAGGAATTAACAATTTGCCAAGACAGCTTACTGCTGCTCTATTCTTTGTCCGAGATAAAGAATTGATGTGGCAGTGTGTAGCGAAGATGTCTGAATGCAGTTATGTCCTCGTAATCAGGCTGAACTCACATACAGCTTGTTGTTGTTGTCGGTACTATGCATCATCATATTATCTAACGGGAGTTTCCTTGGCTTAAAGCTTGGGCTGCCTCAGGTTTGTGCACACTAGTGTGAAAATGAATGTGAGTGGTGGCCTGGCCACCACTTATGTTGCGACCTGTCCAGAATGTCCAGCCCCCTCCAACCCAGTGAGGGTTAAGGCAATCCAATGATGGATCTGACGATATGACAATATTGAGGGCATAAGTTGTGAACAAAATCTTTCAAATGAATATGTTCTGAAGACTATTGTGAAAATGTAAGATAACAAGTATTGCTGAAAGAACATTAGAGAGGCAGGTGATGACTGGCACCCTAATATTTTATCACATCTGCCAGGATTTTAATGGATTCATATATATGTATATGTGGAACCTCTAGTGGTCAATGGCATTGGATGTCCTCCAGATTGGACATTCTTTGACCACATATCGGCAAGAGAATATAAATTCTCATTGCCTTAAAAGAAGAGACACCAATGATGTTACAAAACTGTTTATATGATCATTTTTGTCTGTTTGTTTTGGGGTTGTTCTGAATTAATAGATATTGTTTTGGACAGCTGACACCTAATGAAGGGATTGAAAAAGCTTTGGGTCAGAAAGCAAAAAATGGCTGTGTGGTGTTTCCTTACTGATCTATGCCAGAGGGTACATGTAAGCATGGTAAGTGATGTTTTCTTCCTGCTATACCTCTGGGTAATAAATTAGCTGTAACCCACTTTACAAACATGAGATATATTAAAGTGAGCTGTTAAAGTGGCAAAATAGTTCAGACATTTAATGACTGCTGCCTTGCCCCCATGCTTTAGTCAGGTTTGCACCCTTCGAGGGGCCACCATACAGTTTGAAGCAGGTGTACTGTGATGGAAGTTGGAGACCGGTTTACAGCCGAACAGATGGCAGGTCAGCAGTCAACACTCAGTTAAGCACATTTAAAATAGCAGAGCTACTCGTAGCCACTCACTGGATTCAACCCATTATCTTATTATCTATCTTTGCCAATGTAGGGACCAAGGCAGTTTGGGTAAGGACTCAATTACTTCACTTTATCAAAGTTATTTTTAAAGCAGATAAGACCTGCAGCGTGCTTGTAATCAGGGAACATTTAAGTGTAGGGTTCAGTCAAGATACAGGGCCGTCAAGTCCAAATAATTTAAGTATGACATGTCAAGACTCAATCTTTTCCTTTTCTCTCATTGAACATCTCAAAAGAATTGCAACTGTGTACAAATTACAGTAAATATTGACAAAGGAAATATCTTTAAATATAACCTTTCAAAGAAATCATGCGTTTCTCCTGGAGCTCTGATTATGAAAAGCTGTAACAGACTCTTTGACCATCATAGGATACTAAAAGTCACAGAAGAAGCTAGTGTATATAAAACTGTATAAAAGTTAGTCTTCGGTTGTTTTATTTGGAAAGGGGTTATTAACAGTTAATCACCATAAAAATTGAAACAGTTCAAGTTTGCCAAGATTTGGTTAAGCTAAAGGAAATAACAAAAATATCTGCATTCTATCTAGTCTTAAAGACAAAATACATCCAAGAATACAACCAGTGAAGTACCTTTCAGAGGTATGTTCCTCAAAGGCCACACGTTTACAATGTCCTATCTTTAATTATTTGTGTCTTTTTTATAACCCATTTGTGAGAAAACCCTTACATACCTGTAGTCACCCTCTTGGATGCCACATCTGGAAATGGCCAATGTACCTTCCCCCTTCCATGGATGTATGGGAACTGGATATAGCGTTGAAGGCGAGAACCCCTTATTCCTATGAAAGTTGCTCATTGCTCATAGGGCGACTGTGGCTGTGAGGGAGTGTGGTCGTCTTTCAACCAGAAGGTTGTGATGTTGACTGCATGGGCTGGGATCGAACCCACAACCTTCTGGTTGAAAGACGACCACACTCCCTCACAGCCACAGTCGCCCTATGAGCAATGAGCAACTTTCATAGGAATAAGGGGTTCTCGCCTTCAANGCCGAGAGCAGCTTTTGCTCTCAAGCGTCAGGCCATTCTTGTGCCAATGAGCAACTTTCATAGGAATAAGGGGTTCTCGCCTTCAACGCTATATCCAGTTACATTCATCCATACATCCATGGAAGGGGGAAGGTACATTGGCCATTTCCAGATGTGGCATCCAAGAGGGTGACTACAGGTATGGCCAATGTACCTTCCCCCTTCCATGGATGTATGGATGAATGTAACTGGATATAGCGTTGAAGNCCTGCGGAGAGCATTTCGCCTCGATCCCAACTCCTCTATTACCAACGTTCAGGGAGCTCTATGCAAGTCAATGGGACGCCCTGCCCGTTGAACACTGACTCTCAAGGGGTACCCTGTCCGTAATAGAGTGACGGGGAGGGGCCCTGACCGTCCGTCAACATGTGATGGGTTGGGAGTGAGAACGTGTTTGTCAGGTAGAGACCGGTCTCCAGTCAGCACCGATCTCAGTGAGACCGGTCTCCAGTCAGCACCAATCTCAGTGAGACCGGTCTCCAGTCAGCACCAATCTCAATGTCGAGTAAACCTGCTGCAGAGCCACTATTTCAAGTATACTCATTGAGTGGCGCCGAAGGACTGTTGAAATGCATGTTAAATGCCCAGCATTCGGCGCCACTCGATGACGTAGTATACTTGAAATAGTGGCTCTGCAGCAGATATACTCGACATTGAGAAACGGCCTCGCTGTTTGATGGCTTGATAGCCCACTCCCCTCCACATCGCTCCACACTCGTTGGTTTGGAACAGCACTCAATATGGTGGACCCTCCGCACGAACGCGCAAACGGAGGGGTAGTGTGTGGGGGTAGGGTTTCGGGCGTGGTTTGGGATTGGGCCAACATGTCGAATCGGCGGAGGAAGGTGTCAGCACAGCCGAAAAGACACAACGGTGCAGTATACACTATGGTCCAATCCCAAACCACGCTCTACACCCTACCCCTACACACTACCCCTCCGTTTGTGCATTCGCGAGGAGGGTCGGCCACATTAAATGCTGTTCAAAACCAACGAGTGTGGAGCGGTGTGGAGTGGGAGTGGGCTATCAAGCCATCAAACAGCGAGTCAGCATCGGTGCTGACTTGAGACCGGTCTCTACCTGACCGGTCTCAACGCTGTGTGTGTCCGTCAGCAAACATCCACTGATAAATTGCGATGTTAAGAACCTCATGATAACCTCATATTTTTTTTACTTCGGATCATACCTGTGAGTTCACTCCGTCACGGAGGGGGAGTGTGTAGGGGTAGGGTGTAGGGCATGGTTTTGGATTGGGCCCACACGACACGACGCTCATCGACGGCCCGACATCTATCGACATCAAGCGATGCCGAAATCGGCTTGGTGTGTAAAGACCTTTACACGTATTCTCTCTTCCTTTTGTGTTTTAAACTTTGCCTTTTTTCCTCTAACAGGTCTGATGGGGATGGTAGCGCACATGATGTACACTACGGTGTTTCAGATGACTGTAAGCATTGGTCCTAAAGACTGGAGGCCACAGACCTGGGACTACGGGTGGTCTTTTGCGTAAGTTTCTTTCAATTTTATCCCCTCCCAAAAATCCCACTTCAAGCTTGGCCACAACCAGCATTTAAAATTGTTTATATTCTATGTAGATTCAAGATTAAAATTCAAAGGTTTGTTGTCATAACATAAACAAAACTATGGTGTAGTTATGTAATGTATGAAAAACATAGATCGAAGGTTCCTAAACAGTGCAAATTACAAGACATTAAAACATGTATATAAAAAACAACAATAGCCTACAAATAAAAATAGTGCATGGTCAGGTTTTTAATAGTCTTATGTCGAGTCTTATGGTTGAGGGCGGTGCAACTGCCATGATGCAGCCGGTCAGGATGCTCTCTATGGTGCACCTGGATTGTATTGCTCCCATAAAAAAAATGTAGCCACTAAAAGAGAGTTGGTAACTCCAAAATATAAGAAGCTATTATAACTCATTGTCCTTGTGTGCAAAATAAATATCACAAATACATGTATAATCTAGTAGAGGTCTAAGTTGATGCATGGGTCCAAAAAACAGGACTTTTTCTCAGGAGACTGCTGTTTGTGTTCCGTTTCAAACGATAAGTTGACATTAACTTTAGTTAACTTGTGTAATGTTCTTATCTTAATCATGAACACAACTGATATCACATAACAAACTATATATATCAATATATTTTCCTGAGCCAAACCACGTAGTTTTGTTTCAAATCAATGTGGCCCCATCATTGTATTTAATTTGTCTGTGCATACAAACTTATCCTATGCCACTTTTGTTGTAACCACGCCTTTAAACAACAACTTGCATTGGCCTGTCATGTTATATAATGTGTCGTACTTTTTCCAAATGTCCTCCCTCACCAGCATGGCCTGGCTGTCCTTCAGTTGCTGCATGGGGGCCGCGGTTGCCACGCTCAACTCTTACACCAAGACCCTCATCGAAATGAAGCATCGCGCCCGTGTGAGGCTGGACGAGGCTCGTGCTGCTGCCTGCGCCCCCTCCTACGAGGATGTGGTTCGAGCCGGCGGTGGAGGCCTTTTCTCCGTCAGTCAGCTGATTCAGCTCGGCCAGCATGGGGCACTCATGGACCCTCTGTGGCCCAGAGGAATGGGACCGGCTGTCGGCACTCTGGCGTGCGGCGCGGGGGAAGCGCTGTTTGTTGGTGGAGGAGGAATTGGGGTTGGAGGAATGGGAATGGGAATGGGAGGAATGGGAGCAACAGGAGGAGCTGGGGAAATGGGAGGAATGGGAGCAGTAGGACGAGGTGGGGGGATGGGAATGGTGGGTGTCGGAGGAAATGTAGTTGGAATGGGGATGGGAGCAGTAGGAGGAATAGGTGTAGGGATAGGAGGATTGGGAATGGGAATGGTAGGAGGAATGGGGGGAAGTGGAATGGCAGGGGAATGGCTGGAGGACCCTCATGGTGTGGTGGTGGTGGAGGGATGCTGTATTGAAGGATGTGAAGACTGTGAACGGGAGATGGACGAAATGGATTACTCTCAGCAGGAGGAAAGAGACGACTCGCTCTGCTAAGACTATAAGCGCAGAGGACATTATCTCGTTAGGATTGTCTCTACACATTGTTGTCTTCAACTACATTCCAAGACCTCAAGACTTGAACAATACCTTCCGAAATATTTAGTTTATTTTGTAAATAAGCAGTTTTAAAATGATTCTTGTAACATTTCTAAACTGTTTTTTGGCATAAATATAAAGGGGCAAAGAAATCTCACCGACACGTCTCCAATGGACCGTTGGTTTCTCATATTGTTACAGCTAACAAGTTAGCGGAGATTTGCCTTCTTACAGATCCAGCATTATCCAAGATTATCATGGTTTGCAGTCTTTTCAAACCTCTTCCATTATAAGGAAGGTTGGAAGTGAGGAGACTACCATGAAGTCAGTGTGAAGCAGGAGATGCTATTTACTTTTTGTCTTTTTAATTTATGTTTGCATGTAAAAAGGGATAAATAAATGCAAAAAACATTGTCTGAAAATGTCTTACGTATACATGGAATCTGTAATTATCACTTTAATGTTGAGATACTTAGTAACGAAATGCAATTGAAGTAGGACATAATATATCAACTTTAAAGAGTTATAATGAAACACTGGTGTGAATGACTTGAAACAGTTACTAAAAGATTACATATAAAAGTAAATGTTAACATTTCTAAACTCAGCAGGCCATGACACTATCATGGTTAAATCATCAGTACGAGCAATATGTAACTTTTTTTCTATTTATATAAACGAAAGATAAAGAAAAGTAAATAGATCAAAGATTAAAGCAACAGAGAGATTTGGGCTTTAAGACAGATGCTTTCCAATGTTGGACAGAAGATTATGTCAATAATCTCCGCATTCAGGGAAATAAGACTGAGCAGGGTTGGGGAGGAGAGGGATAGAGATTGCCATAATATAGGCGAGCAGGAGATAAACTGAGTTGTCAGGTCACTGCGCAGTATTTAGAAAGTCATTAAAAATGTAAATTAAGTTGAATTATACAACAGTTTATCTAAAATGAGCATTAGTCTCTGAGGTGATTTAGTTCAAGCAACTTCAACTAAGACGCATAAAGGGGTTAGTTCAACATTTTTATCAGGTGTTAAATATATTAAAAGGAACACATGTTTCAGGATATTTTCATAGTATTTTTTTGCAAAAACAATGTGGATACAGTTACTTATTCCAATGTTCCTTCCAGTAACATAACTGTGGCATTAAAGAAAAAAAGAAAAATTATCTGATATATGCAATGGGTGAGGTAGGTGAAAAGCAAGACTCATGTTAGAAAACAATAACGTAACAACCGTTTTTAAATTAAATTCATCTGCTGTTGGAGGTTGATTTGTGAAGTAAAAAATGGGTTTACTTCGATGAAATCTAGACAAACCTCATTCGCACTAAGGAAAGCAAAGATGGTAAAAGAAGTGGACAACAGCCAACCTGTCAACACCTAATTGGTGTTTATATCTTAATAACTATTGGATGAACTATACCATTACATTACATTTCATTTAGCTGACGCTTTTACCCAAAGCGACTTACTGTACAATTAGTTCATTCAACCATGAAGAAACAAAATCAAAAGCAAGAATCCTGCAGGTACATTTCCTATCTATAAGCCCAAGATTAAGTGCTACTGCATTAGCTTCACCTAAATCCAAATCCTTTGTAAGTGCTACGTACACAAGAGTTTTGTTTCTTATATGAGCAAAGATGCAGGCAAACTGGTGAGTTTTCAGTCTGTGATGGACAAATTCTAAATTTAAATAGCAAACATGCCACACATTCTTTCGTAAACATTAGCATGCATCATTTTCATTGTTAGCATGTCATTAGGCTAATGTTAGCATTGAGCACAGAGAAGTTTAGCTGCTAACATAGCTGTAAACCCTCCTAAGCGCAGGCCAGGGGTCTTCAACTATAACATTTTACAGTAGGGTGGCCTAAATTGCTATGTATAATCATTCCTTTTTCCCTACACACAATAATAAGCTGTAAGAATATTAGTACACAGTCACTTGTTTGCTGTATTTAGCTTAGGTTTGCTAGCTCATGTGATTGCACAAGGTGTCATGGTTTTCAGTAACTCTGAACATTGAGAGCAACACAAAAAACAAAAAAGAACTTGTGACAATTAACATTTTCATGGTTTTTATTTATTGGGTAAATCCAGAACCAACACTTAGTTTTACATGTTGTTTTACAACAAACCTATTTCCAGTGTCCACCAGTTTACTTAACTGCTAAACATGTACGATCGTGCCACATGGACAGATTCAACACCATTTAAGACAACAATAAGAAGGGTACAGTTGCTGCACTTACATATTGGACAGGGTTTTAAAAAAAAACATCCCAGGCTAAAAAGAGAGACAATAGAAACCAGCATCGGTGACCCAGATAAAAACAACATGGTTCATGGTAAATATACCTCAAAAAGCAGAAGAAGATAAATATTTCCCCCGTATGTTTCCAAGTGGGTTTTCTTCAATTGTTGTTGTCAATGTTGGGTCTCCTTCTTTCTTCCTTAGAGCTACAAACAACGTAATTATTGCTTTTTCACAATCTACTTTGTCATACATTGTTAGCAGCATGGCTATCGCAAGCAACCTGGCTAATGCTAGCTTGCTGTCCAAAGCAAGAAATAGTTATATATATTATAATTTGAAACGGAAACACCAATCTCAGTGCTATGATAAAGGCATAGTAAGCTAAATACTGAAATGTTATTGCCACTTTAACACAAGTAAGTGACATTTTGTATTACACATCAGTATAAGTTCTTAATTCATGTAATGCTGCGTGCTTACTTTTTTGTAAATTTGACGAATAGGCTTATTTCAGAAAAATATGAATTTTCTTTATTTGTAGGAAAGTGTAAACTAGGCCATGTGTATTGATCATTATTGCCCTCTAGCTCATGGTAGAAAGACAGTAGCCTACTGACCTAGTCGTCTTTAACATTATTTAATTTTCTGTATGATAAAGAAAATGTTTGTAGAGCACACGAATGCAGTATAAGAAATGTTTTAAAACCTCGGAGGACATTCTGCATCGTTATTTAATATTGAACATTGGGTTTTTTTATCGTCTCACATGCCGTGTGTCTACATTGTATGAAAGTGCTGTCAGGTGCAATTGTATCAGCTGAGTGAAGGGTTAAGTGGAAATGACAGAAAGGGAGAGGGTTACGATGCATATGTCAAAAGGTTACTTCAGAGGTGTATACTGAATCAAACGAAGAGCGTCTTCATTCTCCATCACTCCCTGGATAAACTCGCCTTCTGCTACTCGATCTGGAAGCAGAGAAGGGGAAAAAAGACGTTTAGTTCATGTTATTGAAATTAGAGACACTTCTTAAAGGTTTTAAGGGGGAGGAACTAATGTATAATCTTTATACATCTTTGAATCGAGCTGTTTAGGAAAAATAAATCATTTTGGCTGTTGAATGGGCAGTGCAAAATCTATCATAGAACAAAAGCACCAAGTTGTAATCGCCTCACATTTATTCATACATGTGTCCATTTACACTATTGTATCTCACCAGTGTCACCCTTGTCAAAGAACGTCCAGAGTTTGTCTGCCCTCTTTTCAGCTGTGTTTTCATCCGAAGGTAGAGAAGACAGCTCATCTTTAGGAATCAGCTTGAAAATAGCCTGTTTAGGGAAAATCAGAATACACATACTGGTCAATGAAAGAGAGGCATTCAGCGTGTATGTATCTCACATTTGACCTTTCTATGTAACAAGATTGGTATTCGGACAAGATGGATGTCATCCCAAGCCACTTGCCATTTTCCCAGGCCCCACAGATGGAAATAATAAAATATTCTACTAGTCTGACTTCTGCTGTCAAACGGAGTAAAACCATGAAACCCAAATCCTTTCAAATCCACCGTTTTGTCACATCTCTGAACTGATCATGCCTCTACTCACAAAAACAGCAACAAACTGCACTGGTGCCAAGGATAACCAACAAGCTCTTCGGCCCTTTGTTCGGTGGTTATATGACCTTTTACCTTTTGGTTAAGAATACATCTTTACAAACAGATTCTGCCTACGAATTAAGCATTACTTTTGGCTCTGGAAGTGTCTAGTTTCCGTCTGTAGTGTAGTATAAGTAGAATTTACCAATCATGTTTGATCAGACTTACATTTAAAAATTCTGTGGGGCAAATTCGAACCCAAGGCAATTTTTTTAGCTGAACATTTGCTTGAATCTGGCTATTTGTAAAATACTGAGATCATAGATGTCTTCTTTCAACTCCAACTCCATTCTCGTGTTTTTTTAGTTGCCAACCGGACTGTGAACAATGAACAGCACATATCCGCTGGCCACACAGGAACTACAGAAATACAGCCTCTTTCACCTGGAGCCATATCATCAAAAGCAAATGGGTTCCGAGATTGGCTACATCAGATTTTCAAACCTTCAAGAAAAGAGGGTATATTCACATATTTGGGATTGAGTGATAAACTGGCGTTTAAAATAATTAAACTGGTGATTGTCTTGTCTATATTACTTTCCTTTCTCCAAAACTCACCGCACAGATTTCTTTAACCTCTGACTTGGTGATGTATCCATTCTTGTCCACGTCAAACAGGGAGAAGGCCCACTCCAACTTCCTTGTGGTCTTCCCTGTTGATGTCATGTGGAGAGCGATGATGTACTCCTTGAAGTCCAGTGTGCCATCATCATTTGTGTCGAAGGAGCGGAAGACATGCTGTGCGTATGTTTGGGCGTCACTTTCTGGGAAGAACTTTCCGTAGATATGCTCAAACTCCTCTTTTGAGATGCGCCCTGTTGGACACTGCTTCTTGAAGTTCTCATACCACTGGCCGATTTCAGTCTCTGTGAACTTGGTGTTGAGTTTCAGGTCCTCCAGAATCTCCTTGGACACAATGCCGCTCTTGCTGTTACCCATTTTAGATGTGATTGTATGGCCCTTTAGCTTTCTAGGCCACTAAACACACGTATTTAACCTAAAAAAAGAGACCTCTGCTATTCAGGTGAACTAATAAATGGAAGGCTCCTCCTGAGATATGGCTGCAGTATCCTTCTTCTTTTTTTGTCCTGGTCACAGATGCGTTTTCTGTGAAAGAGCAGAAGCCGCTTGGTAAGCTTATTAAGCGAATCAACCAATTGTAAGAGGTGTCACGGACAGGGTTCAACCCAGTTCAAGGCTGGAGTGCTTGGTTATTGACATTTAAATTACCCCTAGCTGCTTTTAAAATGAGCCGATTTCAGTATTGTACAGAGTAAAATTCTAGACCATGTAGTTGTGTAACCTGACACATTTTGGGAAGCACAACGTCAAAGTAACTTCCTCAACTGATCTCTCCTCAAGACTCAACTGTATTTTTTGCTTTTTGTTTTTATCTTGGCTGCGAGTAAAAATATTGTTTTGCAGTGACTTTCAAATTTGTGTAGGCTTGCGCGGCTTTAATATTTAACCCCTTAATTACAATTTCCCTTGTCTAATTAGTTCTGTAGGTCACAACAAATGTCTACCATATCCCACAGGACTCAGTATCTTCAAATGTTTCAAGTTAGCCTCCAGCTCAATGTAAAACAACCTATGATGATTGCATGTTGAACATAAATAAATATTGATACAATTCATAATTGAAGTAAAAAACAACAGCAAGTGGTTAAGATTACAAGGCTTTTTAGTATTTTCTTCAGGTATTCATAATCATCTAAGTAATAAAAAGGTCCTCATGGTACTTTACTTTGAATGGAGATCAAACCATCAAAGTTGCATTTAGACAGACATCCAATAAAACAGTAACAACACCAACAAAAGATGAATCCAAAAATTGCTTCTTTTCATCTATTCAAATTATTCCGTTCCCTGGTCCTGCCTTTACATGCTTCATATAATAACTTTTGTATTCTCCTCAGAAAAAGATTCTCTTCAACCTAGTTTAAGATAAATACTACTAATAATAACAATTAGATGTCCTTCCAAAGTGTTCAGTTTCTTGAATATAAAGAATGATGATATGTCATGTTGTCAGTGTAGCTGACTCTGTTTGTGTCCTACCTGTATGAGCAAGGATGATCTGTCTGTGAGCAGCAGAGGAAATCAGCCGTTGCTTGTGGAGATAAGTCAATTAAACTGGGTCACCCTGAGGCGGAGCAGCTTTACCACTGTGAATCCCTGAGCTTACAAAGCTTATTTTTTTCTTTTCAGGTAGTCAATTGGCCAAGTCAGATAATAACCACCAAGATAGATTCATGAAAATCTACAGATTTGTAACTGAGAGCAAAATGAAGGTTGGTCAGAGCTTATCCCACTTTGGTCCCTTGAGGTTATTGGTTGCCAAATAGTCGGCTGCCTTGCACGAGGGACCCCCTTTGGCATGTCATGAGTTTGTTTGTTTGTTTTGTTTGCATTGTGCTCAATGCTTGCTCAAACACATCCCACGTTTCTTTGCCCTCAAATCCATTGTTATCAACTTAAACATGTGAAAGACACGCTCAAGTGCAAGAACGATGCTGTAGACTATCAATCATCACCAGGAAGCACCTCCTAACACTTCCTCAAAATGGATGCAGTTTACTAAGCCTGACCTTCCTAATAGAACTGGGGAGGCGGGTCATGGTGAGGAAGGATAGCACAGCGATGAAGTTGTAAACCAACCGTCAGGGTGGTTTGAAGCCAATGTCATATGACAACAGCTGGTCCGGTAGGGCCAAGAGGGTGGTTCTGAGTGCTTTTAATCTCACAGGGCCCTAGAATGCAGGGTCAGATCTGCTGCCAGGCTAATATGTACAATTGTTGCTCTTGGTGCTGCATGTACGACAGAGATCCACAAGTTACTTGAAGAGCTACCCTTGGCCTTCTACCATACCTGGATTTTCAGCCTATCGTCCTGGCTAGGATATGTTTCCTCCAAACCTATGGTGCTGGAGGCTTTCCCCCCTTCGCCACACCTTTTTGCAGAGGATAGGAGGCGTTAAACTTGTGCCCTGTGAGCGCAGTTTTATGTGGATCACACTCAATCTTACCGTGTTGAAACAAGTTTTAATTTTTTGTTTGCATACGTTTCAGTTGCTGACAAAAACATGCTTGGAATTTATTGATCGGTTCTGTTGTTTTACCAAGAGGTGCGCTAGTGGAGCACGCTCGTGAACTGTTAGTTCGCCGGAGCCTCGCAACGGGGTAACTGCGGAGCGCATAATTGTGCCGCATTTGCACATAAGATGACGCCCCCTCCGCATGATGAGGGCCAACGCAGTCTGCTTGATCTGCGTGTAGGGAGGGGCAGCCCTGTTCATTGAGCAATGGTGCCGGAAGTAGGGGTAGGAACAAGCCCTTAGGAAGTGCGCAAATATTCTTAGTGGCCAAATGGTGGTAATACAACGTCCGCGACTTCAATGGGCCGAAAACAACTTTTTCACATTGACTATAAATCAGTATTTTAGGCACATCCACTCCACAGCCTAAACACTTAAATGCCCATTATTTAAACAATTAGTTATTGTCCCTCTCAATTCATTTCCCTGAGCCGAGAGCAGCTTTTGCTCTCAAGCGTCAGGCCATTCTTGTGCCAATGGTAAATGGACTGTACTTATATAGCGCTTTATCCAGTCTTTAAGACCCCTCAAAGCGCTTTACATACTACATGTCATTCACCCATTCACACCCATTCATACAGAGCAGTGTACCTTACTCTAGGACCTAACATTCACANGGACAGGGTACCCCTTGAGAGTCAGTATTCAACGGGCAGGGCGTCCCATAGACCTTCATAGACCTCCCATAGTGTTGATAATAGGCGCCATGAGAACTCTCCCCGACGGTCGGTTGTTATTGTCAATATTAATATAATAATTATTTATTTTTTAATAGCCACACTCGATTTCGCCGATTTTCTTGTTGCCCCAGCTGGTCGACACCTCTTTTAACAGAAACAAAGGCTACATTAATGTATTAAATCGATGTTAAGACCTTGAGGACTATCACGGGGTTTGTCAAGCGAAGCGGAGAGAATACTTACTTCCGGGTGTAAA